GCCTCCCGGGCCCCATTGTTCCCGGCGGCCGTCCCGGGCCCTCCAGGCCACCCCCCTGGAACCCAGGCGTCCCCAACTCACGGCTCAGGGGTCTGGGAAAAGCCGGAAGGCAGACTCCAGCCCCAGGGGACTTAACCCCTTAAATGCCCTGCCTCGGGGGGCGGGCTAGATACCGAGGACTCTGGGGTCCTCCTCAAGGGGTGATTCCAGGCTGAGGACCCGGGGACCAGTTCAGGGTGACTGGGACGGAGCAGGAAGTGACCCCAGCTTCCCGGGCCCCTCTAGCCTGGAGTCAGAGCATCAGCTCTATGGGATTTAACCCTTTGCCTCCCACAGCCTGGGAAAAAGGGGGACGGCGGGAGCAGGGAGGTGGCTGAGACGACGTCCGTCTCCCCGTCTCAAGTGAGAGCAGGCGAGATGGGCATCTGGGGGAAACTCAGATGCCACGGAGGGTCTCCGGACTTCTGGCTGCTCTCCACCTCGTAGGGGCTCCACCACCCTCTCCTGGAAAGCCCTAGCTCTGATCTGGCAGCTGCTGGTCCCCTGGGGCCTGCCTTTGTTTGGACTCACCCTGAGATGGGGCTCAGATCCCTGAGTTCTGGGGTGGGGCAGGGGCTGGCAGGGCAGACCAAAGAGAGCACATCCTACAGTCTAAAAATGGCTTAAATGAAACAAGTCGTGGCACGGAGAGTTTAGGGACAAGCACAGCCAGGAAGGACTGTGGCAGCCTGTGCTCCCAGGACCCTTTCCCATCAGCTCCCCTCAGAAGAGGAAACTGAGGCCCATAGTGGCAGGGGTGAAGCCAGTGGGGCTTCCCCTGGCCTGGGACATTCCATAGTGGCAGAAGAGAAGCCAGTGGGGCTTCCCCTGGCCTGGGACAGCGAGCGTCCTCCCCCAGCTCTGGCTAGCCCTCTCTCAGCAGGAGCAGCCTTTAAACCTGGGCAACTGGTGGCCTCTGCAGGCCCAGGTTATCAGGGCTTCCAGTTTTTACAGCCTTTATCTCATTCCCCCCTCAGCGCAGTCCAGTGCTTATCCCCATTATACAGGTGAGGAAACCAAGGTGTGAGAAGGGAAGTTCTGTGGTAAAGAGCACATCTTGCAATTCACACATTTGCATGCTGAAGCCTATTTGGGGGCGCTGTGGTGAATATGGAAGTGGAGAGACCTCTGAGTTGAACAAGAATCAGAATCGGCCTTTTGCACCAGCTGGTGGCACAGTGGTGAAGGTGGCTGGATCCTACTGGCCAACGGTGGGTTTGAGTTCCAGACCCGGCAGCTTAAAAAACACATGGGGCACGTGTGCATGCATACATACCGAAAATCATGAAAGAAGAATGGAGGAGAATGGATTATACCATGACCATGTGCCCCGGGGAGTGATTTCTCACTTTTCCTTTCTCTGTCTCTCCCAGGAACACATGTACTGGATGGCAAATAATAGTAATGATAATAAAAGACCAGCAGGCGGCATTGGTGGTTAAGGTGTTGGACTCCCACATGGCCAACTATGGTTCGAGTCCCGGACCTGGCAGCTTGCTTTCTCATTTTTTTCTCTCTCTCTCTCACTCCCTCTGGCTCTCTCTGTTGAGTGGATAGGTTCTATAGCAAATTAAAAATAATAATAAAATTCAATAATTCTTTTTTACATTTAATTTTATTCATCATTATTGGGTTTGTTTTTAATTTGACCAGAGAGAGAGCAGGAAAGTGAGAAAGCAAGCTGCCAGGCTCGGAACTTGAACCACAGTCAGCCATATGGGAGTCCCAGTGCCTTAATCATCAAGCCACCTGCCATCCTCAAATAAAGAATTATCTTATAATAGTTATTTTATAAAATAATTATTCTTTTATAAAATTTTAAAAAGAATTATTTATTTATTCCATTTGTTATTACTATTATTATTATTTTAAATTTGACCAGAGAGAGAGAAAGGGAAAGTGAGAGAGCAAGCCGCCAGGTCCAGGACTCAAACCATGGTTGGCCATGTGGGAATCCAGTGCCTTTAATCACCACACCACCTGTCAGTCCCAGTAATTCTTTTTTTTAAAATTATTTATTTAGTTTTTATTCATTAATTTATTTAAATTTGACCAAAGAGAGACAGAGAGAGAGAGAAAGTGAGAAAGCAAGCCACCAGGTTTAGAACTCGAACCGTGGTCGGGTATATGAGAGTGTCCAGCACCTTAGCCTCCATGCCACCTGCTGGTCCCCTGGTCCCAGTTCAGTCCCAGTAATTCTTTTTTTTAAAATTATTTATTTAGTTTTTATTCATTAATTTATTTAAATTTGACCAAAGAGAGACAGAGAGAGAGAGAAAGTGAGAAAGCAAGCCACCAGGTTTAGAACTCGAACCGTGGTCGGGTATATGAGAGTGTCCAGCACCTTAGCCTCCATGCCACCTGCTGGTCCCCTGGTCCCAGTAATTTTTTTTTTGATAATTTTATTTAACTTTATTCATTCATTTATTTCAATTTGACCAGAGAGGGATGGAGTGAGAGAGAGAGAGAGAGCAAGCTGCCACGTCCGGGACTCAAACTGCAGTTGGCCCTGTGGGAGTCCAGCACCTTAACCACCAAGTCTGCCGGTCCCCCCAGTAAATCTTAAGAAAAAGAAAAAGGGACCAGCAGGTGGCATGGTGGTTAAGGCACTGGACACTCCCACCTAGCTAACCACGGTTTGAGTCCCAGACTTAGTGCCTTGCTTTCTCACTTTCTCTCTCTCTTTCTGTGTCTCGCTCTAGTCAAATTAAAATAAAATAAAATGAATGAATGAATGAATGAATAAAATTAAATAAATAATTCTTTGAAATTAAAAAAAGAAAAAAAAAAGGCCATCGGAGATGTAAGGGGACTGGACAGGGGCACAAACCAACTGACAGAACTTGCCAGAGAAGATGTAGTTCCTTTGTAAGTCCTGCAACTGGAGTTCAGAGACTGTGGCCCCAGGAGAAGAGCCCCCCGACCCCCAACCCTGCCTCTGCTCACTTCCTGATATGGTCGCCGAACTCCAGTTTAGCACCTCCTTTCAGGTACATTTCCACGTGGTTCTGGCTCCCATAGTGCCCTCACTTTTACCCCTCATCCTCTCTCACCACCTCATGGCCTTTGTCCATCCTGGTCCCCTTTACGCTGCATGTTCCTCACAGCCTGTGACAGAATATCTCTATGTGGCCCAGTTGCTGTGACAGCAGTAACACAAGTGCCCTGTACGACTGAAAGCCATACGGCTGACTGCAGCTTCGAATCCTCAGGTTGGCTTGGAAACATGCCCGGCAGGTACGCTGGCACTCAGGATCCCAAGGAGCTGGAGGGCTGGGAAAGGGGGTTGAGCCGTGTTGTGATGAGACCCTGTTGAGAGTGCTTTTGTGTCTCACACGTGCATATGCACACACTATCGTAAAAATACATTCTTCCGGGATCAGCAGTTGGCGCAGTGGTTACATCATTAGACTCCCACATGGCCGACTGGTTCGAGTCCCAACCTGGTGGCTTGAAAATCATGCCAGGCACATGTGCGTGCGTGCCCAAGATCCCAGGAGGAGAATGGAGAAGGGATTGCAGAATGGCCATTCCCCCTGGGGGGTGATTTCTCACTTTCCCTCTCACTGTGTCTCTCTCTCTCCTGGGAGTCCATGTGCCTTAAGGCAAAAACCTCTGGAAAAAAACAAAACATACTTCCATGTTTACTGCCTGTCTTTCCCTGCTCCTCCACACACCTGCACTTGTCTGTGCACACATACCCGGATGTCAGCGCTGCCTGAACAAGGGCTTTGGCTCTTGTGTTCATTACTGGCTCGCCAGTGCCTGCGACAGTGACTGGCACGTGGTAGACACTCAATTAGCTGACTGGGCTGCCTGACTTCCACCCTCTCACCCAGGGGTGGGGAGTCTACAGGAAAGCTGGAGGCTCACAGCTTAATTTGACCTGCACAGTTTTTGTTTGCTTTTTAAACTTAATTCATTGCCACACTTAAAAAACAGTGAGTTTCACATAAAAGTCCAAATTTTCTGGAATTCAAAGATGTGGCAACATGACCCAAATGGTCACATGTCAACAATTGTCTGTAGCAAGGCAGCAGCTTCCTTCTTTAAGGGGCACAGACTTTCTAGTCTGTCACAGTACCTGTCATTCCTATTTGTCCTTAGTCTTCAGGCTGAGAGAGAGTTTCGTTTGTCAATGGTCTGCCATTATTTTTTTTTTTTTTTTTTGCTATAGGGCACATGCGCTCGCCAGACAGACAGAGACAGAGAGACAGAAAGCGAGAAATCACCCCCCAGGGGGGATGGCCACACCGCAATCCCTTCTCCTCCATTCTCCTCTCGGGATCTTGGGCACGCATGCACACGCGCCCAGTGTGAGTTTTAAGCCACCGGGTCCGGGATGTGAACCACGGTCAACTACATGGGAGTCCAGCGACATAGCCATTATGCTAACTGCTGGTCCCTGCCATTACTTTTTTAAAAATAATGATTTTATTTTGGGACCAGCAGTTGGTGCAATGGCTATGTCACTGAATTCCCATGTAGTTGACCGTGGCTCAAGTTCTGGACCCGGTGGCTTAAATTCACGCCGGGTGCATGTGCGTGCGCGCCCAGGATCTAGAGAGGAGAATGGAGAAGGGACTGCGGCGTGGCCATCTCCCCCTTGGGGGTGATTTCTCACTTTCTGTCTGTCTCGCTGTCTCTCTCTGTCTTTCTGGCAACTGCATGCGCCCAATAGCAAAAACCTCTCAAAAGAAAAGAATTATTTTATTTTAACTTTATTTATTATTATTTTCCAATTTGACTAGAGAGAGACAGAGAGAGAGAGAGGGGAAAGTGAGAAAGGAAGCCACCAGGTCCAGGATTTGAACCATTGTTGGCCATGTGGGAATCCAGTGCCTTTAACCACC